AATATTTGTTTCTTTTGCAGAGTTCTGGGACACTAGAAGAAATAATGCGCTAACTATCATGCGTGACGTGTAAAGAAATGTATGTTTCTTAATTTTATTTGTTTTAAGATTAATTTAACTTATGTATCTACACACACCTGGTGGATAGATTCTAGTGCCACAACTCATATCAGTGTGTTTATGCAGGATTACTTCTATTACCGCAAGCCAAGTGATGATGCTAGATTCATTTATGTGGGCGATGACAAACCAGGCAAGATGGAAGCAATTGACAAATTTAGATTATTGTTAAAGATTGAATTTTATTTAGATTTAGAAAAGACTTTTATTGTTCCATCATTTAGACGGAATGTAATTTCTATTTCTGTGTTAAACATATTTAGTTATTCATGTTCATTTAAAAATAAAAATTTTAATCTTTTTCTTAATTTAAAATTAGTTGGTTTTGGTACTTTATCAGTGCATGGTAATATTTATTTGTTTGATACAATTGCTTCTTATAATGAATCCTTGCATCTTGGTACAATAAATATAAAAAAAAAATTAACTAAGGAAAATTCTTCTTCTTTATGACACAAAAGAATATGTCACATCTCTTAAAGAAGAATTGAGAGACTTGTGTCAAACGAAATTCTAGATCCCTTTGATTTTTAAGATTTTGATTGATGTGTTCATTGTTCAAGAAAAAATAGACAAATATTAAGAGATTAAGTGTCAATAGAGCTATGGACATATTAGAACTCATTCATATAGATATTTGTAGATCATTCTCTATGGCTTCTTAGAATGGTCAACAATATTTCATAACGTTTATAGATGATTATTCAAGATATAATTATGTATCTCATTCACGAGAAGTTTCAGTCCCTAGATGTATTCAAAAGTTTTAAGGCAGAAGTTGAAAATCAACTCAACAAAAGGATTAAAGCTATTAGATCTGCCAGTGGTGTGAATACTATGGTAGATATGACGGATAAGGTAAACGGTGTCTAGGGTCGTTTGCTCAATTCTTAGAGGAATGCGGTATTGTCCCACAGTATATCATGCCAGGTTCTCCTAGCATGAATGATGTCGCTGAAAGGTAAAACAGAATACTTAAAGATATAGTAATGAGTATGATTAGTCATTCTACATTGCCTGAATCACTATGAGGAGAAGCATTAAAAATTGCGAGATATTTACTCAATAGAGTTCCAATTAAAATAACTATAAAGACCTCTTATGAGCTTTGGACGGGTAAGAAGCACACTTTGAGACATTTGTACATTTGGAGATGTTCAGATGAAGCTAAGCCTTATAGACCATAGGAAAAAAATTGGACTTCAAGATTTTTAGTTGCTATTTTATTGGTTATTCTAAGCTATCCAAGGGTTATAAGTTTTGTGATGCCACTAATAAGATAATTTTTGAGACGACAAATATCCAGTTCTTCGATGATGTTAAGTTTCCGGGGGGAGAAAGAGTTCGCGACCTTTTTTTTGAAGAGGAATGGGTAAATATTCCTATTTCCTAAGTTGCTATTGACAATGATCAGGATCTTGTTCTTATACCTAACATTGTTCAAGAAGCAACTCCAAATTAAGACAATATCGTAGTATCTTCCGTTCCTGTTCAGAAAACTGTTTCTGAAGCACAAACTTCACACTCTCGATAACTTATGCCATTAAGGAGATCCACAAAAAAAAAGAAGTGCAATACCAGATGATTACATTGTATATCTCCAAAAATATGAGTTTGACATTGGCACGATAGAAGATGATCCTATCAACTTCTGTCAAGCATTGGAAAGTTCTAACTATCACAAGTGGATTGATGTCATAAATGAAGAGATAAAGTCCATGAAGGACAATAACGTTTGGGATCTTGTCCCATTGCCTAAGGATGCGAAACCTGTTAGTTGCAAATGGATATTTAAGGCCAAGAAGGATTCGAAAGGTAATGTGGAGATGTATAAGACTCATCTTGTCGCTAAAGGCTTTATACAAAAAGAAGATATCAATTATAAAAAGACTTTTTCTCTGGTTTCGTCGAAAAACTCTTTCAAGACTATAATGACTTTAGTGGTATATTTTGATATTTACTTACACTATATGAATGTTAAGATAACGTTTCTCAATGGTGATATTGATGAGTCGATTTATATGATGCAACAAGAAAACTTTATACTTGGAGATGCACAACAAATTGTTTACAAACTAAAGAAATCTATCTATGAACTTAAACAGGCTTCCTATCAATGATATCATAAATTTCATCAAATCGTCATCTCATTTGGTTTTGAGATGAATTTAGTAAAATATTGTATATACCACAAGTTTAATAGGAGTAAATATATTTTTTTGGCTTTATATGTCGATGACATACTGCTTGCCAATAGTGATATAGACTTGTTACACGAAACCAAGCGGTTTCTGATAAAGAAATTTGAGATAAAAGATATTGGGGACACATCTTTTGTATTTGAGATATAGATATACTAGGATCGCTCTCGGGGTATTCTTAGATTAACACAAAAAACTATATAAAAAAGGTTCTTAAAATGTTTAACATGCAGGATTATAAACCAGGTGACTCTTCTGTGTCTAAAAGAGATAAGTTTACTCTAAGTCAATGCTCTAATGATTATTTAGAGACTACGAAGATGTAAAAGATTTCTTATGCTTATGCTATAGGGAGTCTTATGTATGTACAGGTTTGTATGCGTCCAGATATTGCATACATTGTTGGGATGTTAGGTAAATATTTAAGCAATCTAGGTATGGATAGTTGGAAAACAGTCAAATGTGTCATGCGATATCTAAAGATAATAAAAAGTTATATGCTCACATATAAGATGTCAAATTAGTTGGAGTTTATTAGTTATTTTGATTTTGATTTTGCTGGATGTTAAAACAATAGAAAATCTACATCAAGTTATATTTACTTTCTTGCTGGGGGAGCTATTTCTTGGGAAAGTTCTAAACAAATACTTGTAGCCTCTTCTACTATGATAGCATAGTTTATAATTTGTTATGAGGCATCCAATTATGGAATATGGCTGCGAAAGTTTGTCACTAGGCTACATATTGTTGATGACATAGAAAGATCATTAAAGTTATTTTATGACAATAAATCTGCAGTTATATATTCTAATAACAATAGGAGTTCGACGAAATCAAAACATATAGATATTAAGTTCCTCGTTGTTAAAGAAAGAGTTCAGAGTAAGCAGATATCAATAAAATACATTAAAACAAACTCAATGATTGCGGATCCACTCACTAAGGATTACCACCTAAGATCTTTTATGAATACACTGTTCATATGAGTGTTGTATCCTTAGATGATGTGTAGTTTCAGTGGGAGTCTTGTACCATAGTTACAATTATTTTGTAAGACATGTCATAAATTGTGTACTTTGATTTGGTTTATGTATATATGGTTTCATTTTAGTTTTTTTTTTTCTTTTTTTTGCGTTTATGTTTATATATATTATTATCTCTGAATTTTTTTACAGTTGATCTCACTAAGGTTAAGGTAGAACCAGTTGGAAATAAACATACTTAGATCACATAACATATAATTTCTATATTGCACATCCATACTTGATCTATATTGTTCGGTTATATTGATATACGTGACCATTGATGGGTTTAACTACGTTAGTTGTAGCGAAAATCGTTTTGATTCTATGTCTTAATGATCGATGGACGAGATTGTTTGGTGATGCATTCAGGTATTGATAGTATAATTATGAGTACTTCTACGACTATTTAATGCATAGTTAAAATATCACATAAAGCCCAAGTGGGAGATTGATAGATTTTTTTTTCTAACGTGTAGGCTCAATATGGACCTTAGTATGCGTATCAGACTATCAATTTAATGAGCTCGTTTAAAAGTGATCAAATATAGTTAAACAATATTGGGCTTTAATGTATTGGATTTAAGTATGAGGTTGTAATGTGCATATACTATTTTTGTAATATTTTTATTTTATGATGAGCGAAATGAGAATTATAAAAGTTAGTCAATATAAAAGACAGTTATGGTACCCAAATCAAAAGATTATCATTTTATTTTTTTAAAATCCTGTCACAAAAAAAAAACTAATTTTAATACACTGTGTTGATTCGAAAAATCCTACCACTAGACGCAAACAAATCTTCTGCGATGAATTTAGGTACCATTCCACTTATATTTTTCTTTAATTCAGTACGAGAATGCATATTTAATTTTTACAAATCTACAGATTTGAAAAAAACTAAAAAAAATGTCTTGTGACAATTAAATTTTTTTAATTGAGGCATGTATATATTTTATATACCATCCAATTTCAAATAAAGTTGATTGATAATACAGAATTAGTAATTTTGTAGGTATGTTATAAATCGATAATGACTAATTTATAATATTTAATTAAATAAAAGTAAAAATTTAGTTTAATAGTGTGCTAGAGGAGTTATGATAATTAAATTAAGTTAGTTATCAATAAGCTTATTAATTATGGTAGGCATTTGTAATATATATTTTCGTTGAAGTTGATTGATAATACAAAATTAGTTATTTTATAGATATATTATAAATTAAAGGTAATTAATTTATAATATTTAATTTAATAAAATTAAAAATTTAATTTAATAATGTGTTAGTAGAATTGTAATGAATAAATTAAGTTAATTCTTAGTAAATTTTTTATGTTCTTGAATGTAATAAATGTCGAGAGATAATTAAATTCTCTTAATTTTGATTTCTACAATAAATTGAAAAGGTCACCTAATTTTTTTTTTCTCTATAGAAAATTTCAATTAATAAAAAATTATACTAAAATAAAATTGACAGCAAAAAAAAATAAATAAATAAAAATAAACCACCGTATTTTGTGGTGATTTTATATTTATCCTTTATTAATTTAGAATTATATATATATATATATATATACAAATATATATTGTCTTCTTTCTCGTTCTCTCATGGTTATTAGCTGTAACCAATTTAAAAACTCAAGAGAAAAAGGGAAAAAGAAAACGGGAGGCCAAAAAAGGAAGGCACAGAGCAGAAAACTCCAGAGAGAGAGAGAGGAGAGAACGGAAAAGGTTGTTTGCTCGAGGGGGAGAGGGGATGGGGAGAGAGGAAGAGAAAGAAGGAGTAATGGCGGCAGATTTCTTCTGGTCATACACAGACGAACCTCACGCTTCGAGGAGGCGCCAGATCCTCTCTCAGTACCCTCAGATCAAGGAGCTCTTTGGTCCTGACCCTTGGGCTTTTCTTAAGGTCTCACCTCGCTCTACCTCATATTCCTCACCTATATACACTTACGCATATATGCATTCTTTTTATTGCTGGTTTTGCACTGCGATTTTTTTTTTTTTTGGTTGCTTTTTAGATCTGTGATAATGTGGCTGGATTAATCTGTGAACTCGTTTACGTGTTTATGATTGCTGCATTGTGGTATTTGGGCTAATGGGATTCTGGGTTGGTTCATTCGCTTAATTTCGTTAATCACTTCGATTGAAACATGGTGATGATGGTTTTCATCTTCTCCGTCGTCGTAGATTCTACTAGAACAGTAGAAGCTGCGTCTTTCCGTTTCAGCCTGTTCTTTTCAAGATATCTTCCCAAAATTTTCTCTTTTTAATTTTGAGAAGGAAAAAGGTATTGGCTTGTAGAAATTAGAGTTAGCTATAGATTTTTACATATTATTATGTAACATGTACAAAAGTTAAACTTGTCGATTAATATATGTCTATATATGAATATTACATTAATTATTAGAAAATATTTTCTAATTTTTATAAACTAAAGAAACTTATATAGGCTAAAATTTTCAGAGCTACAGTGTAACGTATTTTTTAAGCTGGAGTTGGTGAAAGTTCTGTTTTTCTTTTTGTCTTTTGGGTCATTATCATAATGAAGATTGTGTTGACCAACTTGAAGGAATTGGAAGTGTTTGGTATTGTTATAGTTTCAATGCTGATTCCTTTTCCGCTTACAGCAAGTGATGTTGTGTAGTTATCCTGAATGATTTGCTTCCTTAGGTGGATTGATGAGAAAAATGAAATTCGGAAATTTTTTATGCACTTTCTTGTCTACTAATGACCCTGACATGGGTTAGCATAATCTGAAAGTTTATTCTGTACCTTCAACTGTAGCAGTCGTTTTCACAAAAGAATAGTGTTTCATAGATTTGTCATAACGAGACTCTGTAGCCTCCCAACTGATTTATTATATGTTTTGACTTGTTAAGTTGTTCATTGGTTAACTTCGAAGTTTCATTTTGCAGTACAAAATCGTCCCAGGGTGATTTATGGATGGCTATGTTGTGTTCATTTGTTTTTTTTCTTTTGAAAAGCAGCAGATATCATTATTCTTTATTCTCCGAATGCTCTATTTGTTTTATGAATGATTTATTAATGTGCAGACCATGTCCATCTTGAGTTAATATTCGGTTTAGAAGGTGATTGCCATTTGGAAATGTTTTTGAGTCCAGTGATATTTGATATTTTTTCTGGCTTCTCCTTGAAGCTCCCTATCAAGATTTTGGTGTCCTATGCCAGCATAAATCCAGTTTGGGTTTGGTAGCGGATCATATTTACATTTTACTATTCCTCTGCTATGAATTTTATTTCTTCACTTGTAATGACTTCAGCACATCTCAAATCAAGATAATGTTGAATATATAAAATACAATCTTGCTGACATCATGATTGTATTTTGCCTGTTCTGTTAAATTAATAAATTTTCTGCATGTTAAGATGTAAATTGCTTCTTTTACCTATAGTGGACCGGGATCTCGTATTCATGTCCTCAAATTTGTGTATTGCAGATTACAGTGGTTGTTCTGCTCCAGCTGTGGACCGCTACTTTAGTTCACGATGCAAGCTGGCTGAAGATATTGACAATAGCATATTTCTTTGGTTCTTTTCTCAACCACAATCTATTTTTGGCAATTCATGAGCTCAGCCACAATCTTGCCTTCTCGACTCCAGTCTACAACCGTTGGCTTGGGATTTTTGCTAACCTCCCCATTGGTGTGCCCATGTCTGTGACTTTCCAAAAGTATCACCTTGAGCATCATCGCTTTCAAGGAGTAGATGGCATTGACATGGATGTTCCAAGCTACACTGAAGCCCATCTGGTTACAAATATTGTTACCAAAACCATCTGGGTGTTCTTACAACTCTTCTTCTATGCACTGCGCCCTCTGTTTCTTAAACCGAAGCCTCCTGGTTACTGGGAGTTCATTAACTCAATCATTCAGATAGCTCTCGACATGGCTGTGATCTATTTCTGGGGCTGGAGATCTTTTGGTTACTTGATCCTTTCAACATTTGTGGGAGGTGGGATGCATCCAATGGCTGGGCATTTTATCTCAGAGCATTATGTATTCAAACCAGAGCAGGAGACATATTCCTATTATGGCCCCTTGAATCTTTTAGCATGGAGTGTGGGCTACCACAATGAGCACCATGACTTCCCAAGGATTCCTGGAAACAAACTCTACAAAGTGAAGGAGATTGCACCAGAATATTACGAGAGTTTGGAGTCATATAAATCTTGGAGCCAGGTTATATACATGTACATTATGGACAGAACGGTTGGACCATTTAGCAGAATGAAGAGAAAGCTATCAACTGCAAAAAAATCTGAATAGGACTTCTTCCTATCACTGTTATAGGTATTCTTGTTTGATAACAACTTGTTTTTTCTGTTCATCTTCTTTGTTGCCTTCTTACCTGCTGGAATGTGGGTTAATTAATTCTCTGTTTTCTTCTCTTTTTTTTTTTACTTTTGTTATTTGTCATTGTTGGTAACATTCTTGGGGAATCAGAAGTTTATGCTGTAGTCTTAGACTAAAGAAAATGAGTCAATGATTAATTACTCAATTATTTATAACCAAGTCTTTTTCTATTGGCTATATTTGCTCTGGAGTTTGCATATCTGTTTGTACTTATGCATTTTGATTTGTAAAGATTTGTGAGTAATAACCTGTAGGCAATTTCTGAAGATTTCCCTATTATGCTGTCAGCTCAATACATACTAACAAATTCTAGATGATATTATAAGATAAAATTACATGAGCTGGGATATAGTCCTTTAGTGGTGAAACAGGACACTTCAAATAAGATGTTAAAAAGCAACAAATATATAAATATATATATATATATATATATATGAAAGAGAATGAAAAGAGAGGAATCTGAATGAGTTTTTGCCAAAGTTCTATGCATTTACCCTTAAACTAAACTTGCAGGTTTGAGTAATAAAACAAAGGTAAATCTATTCCATGTTGACATATGCCTTGAATTGAAAGTTTGAAAATTCAACTACTACATGAATCCTACATTAATCCTAGTATCTAGCATTCCAAAAATTAATTACGTTACGCAGCAGATACAACACAATATATATAACATATATATATGTTGTAAACCATAATAACCCCAAAAGTATTGAAGACAGTTCCAGCATCAAACTTTAACAAAGAATCTCCTCTGCTGCTATTTCTCCATATTTGGAAGCTAACTTTTTTCATCTGTTTGCCTATTAACAGGCACCATGAAGATGTTAACAAATGGAGAAGATGCTTCGGAGACAAATACATATGTATGTATGCATATGTAAATATATATGTAAGAACGAATATGGCTAACATGTAACTTACATCCCAGGCATCAGCTGTCTTAGAGGCAAGGGGTGGATCTGCATTAACGAGATATGCAGGTGGTGGAGGGTCTACGAGGGGAAGCCTTGAGGGAAGGAAGTCATCGTCACTGTCGTACCTCCCACATCGGTTTGGTCCCACAGCTCTTAGGCCCATTGCCAGCAAGATAGAAAATCCCTGAAACCATTTTCCAAAAACATTTATTTTATATCCCCCACGGTCCCATTTGATTTTATGTTATTGTAATTTATTCTTTTATTTTTTAAAATTCTCTTCTGTTCATTTTAACCTTTTATCATTTATGTAAAATTTTTATTATTTTATATTTTATAAAATTTAAAATGACAAAGTATTAAATTAGTTATTGAAGTTTGGTATATGTTATAATTTGATTCATAATATTTTTTTTCGTTATATTCTATTTTATACGTTTTTAGAGAATAAAAAAGAAACTAAATGTCTGAAATAAATAGATATTATTGAAAAATTAATTCATAACGAAAAATATTAAGGATTAAATCGTAATAAATATTAAATTTTGAGGATTAATTTAATAATTTTTTAATTTAAAAATTTAACACTAGATTTTCGTAAAAGAACAAGAATGGAATGTATTCTTTTACTTTTAAAAAAATTTTACACTATAATTATCTTGGTATTTTTTGAATCATATAGTTTTTTTTTCTTCAAATCATTACTAAATTCTTTTAATTTTTTTTTTAAAAAATTGCTTAATTTGATTTTAGATAGCCAGTCTCTCTGGTAATAATATGTTTATGATTGAGTGAGTAATATAAATATAAGAAAGTGAAAGTACCTGGGCTAAGATAATCATCAACCCTATCCATTTGCAGACATCAAAATTGGACTCTACAAATCTTCTGAAATCTGGAAACCTTCCTGTTGGATCCTCTGGAAAATCCTGTTACACCAATTACCAATATGAAAAAAAAAAAAAAACCTATGAAATCAAAAGGGTAAATCAGAAGGTTTAATAAACAATTTTACCTTCTCCCAATCAGAATTTAGGAGTATGTCAACTGCCATAGCAGTTTCCAGTAGCAGAAGCACAGAGATAATCACCATATACTTCTTCATTTTAAGGTCAAACACATTTTCCCAAAGTTAAAAGAGGAAAAACTAGTAGCCTACATGAATTGGGAGTGAGAAAGGATACACAAAAGAGGCAAAATCCATTTGCACTATCTGCAGCAATATGACCCAGGCATGTTATAACACACAGAATGATGCCAATACCAAGAAATGTGTATATAAACCTGCAATCCCAACAAGACAATCATAGTTACCAACCATGGAAAAGTAAACAAACCCAGAAAAATTTCATGATTGATCAACAAGATGGTAAGGAATGAGATTAAGTTAGAAAAAGAAAAAAAAAAAAAAGAAAAGAAAGAAAGCTTACCATGGAGCAGTAGAATTGAAATCAACAAAAGATGAGCCTTCAGTGTCTCGTTGCCAAACTCTAGCCATCCAAAAACTATAAAGAATCATGGCAATCCCAGCCACTCCCACAATCAAATTCACAATTTTCAGTACTGATTGCATGCAAGCTCTTGCAATCCTTGCCATTTTGTTCCTTGTGTTTGAGCTAGTTCAACCTCCAAATCTCCTCTTATTACACTCCTTTAATTTTATCTTCTTTGTTTTAACTTAATAGACCAGGCTTATAAAATTATATTTATGTTTTTTAAAATTTATTAACAGAAAAAACCCACATTAGGCAGAATGTGATAACCGATTCGCAACTAACCTTCTCAGCTTATTGAACATGAGCTTTCCAATACCCAACATTCTTCTAAAAGCAAAACAACGCGGAAGGAAACATTAGGGCTTGGTAAGGAATATAATTTTGGGTGGCGGGCAAAATGACTTCTTGGTGAAGGGTCTTTCTTTTTATGGGAGAGGTTAGGATCTGCATATCCAAATTTCTTCTGTTTGTGAGAAGAAATCCTCGAAAAAAAGGAAGAAAACGAATAAGATTTTGACGGGTTGATATTAAATTTGTGTGTGGTTTCTGTTAGGAAATGTCCGGGGGGGGGAAAACAAAGTTACGAGGCCATGCCTCATGAGTGAACATATGATTTGAGGAAGGTAGAAGGAAATTTCTTGGGAACAGAGTGTGTCTGCATGCTTGCTTGGCCTTTTGCTAATACTTGCATTGGCAAATTGTCATTGGCTCCGACCATTCTGATTACTGGTCTCCTTTTATCGATTTTAGAAGCTTAGCACCCTGATGAACGTGACGGTTGCTGTGGTGTAGTGGTTATCACGTTAGTCTTACACACTAAAGGTCCCCAGTTCGATCCTGGGCAGCAACAATTTATTTGTTTTTGTTAATTCCGATGTTTTTTTTTTTCTTTTAAAACTTGGGAAATACACAGAAGATTCTTAGTCCATTCATATTTCTAACACGGAAAAAACGAAATACCAAATTTTCAAAAAATAAGAAACTTATGAATTACATGAAAATGTTGCTTTATATCTTAATTATAATATAAGATTGAATTTTTATTTGAAAGCGTCTATCACCTTATTTAATTCATTAAAATCTCAAAAGTTGATTACTTAAATGTGTAAATTATATTATAAATTTTAAAAATATTGTTAAAAAAATAATTATTTATTAAAAACTCTCTTTAACTACAAGTTTTTTTTTTATTTAATAAAATTAATTCTATAAAGCAGAAATATTGTATTTCATAAAAATAATTTATATTTGAATATATCCAAAACAAATTTTTAAACTTTTAATCTTATTAAGATCATTTTTTATTTTATCGGTTTTGTTATAAAAATATTTTAAAGTAAAACCTGTCCCGAAAAGGACTCATTATCACGGGATATATATGTGATATGTATGTGATGTGTATATATATATATATATATATACACATATAGGTATGTAATACATATATATTTGTGTACCTAGAGTATATAAAATCGAAATAATATTTTCAGACGGCACGAAAAGAATAAAAATGGAGAGTTGCTCAAAATTGATATACAAGAAATAAAAAACTTAAAGAATTTGCAGAGATTACTCTTAAAAGAAGTAATGCTTAGAAGATGAACTGGGTCAAATGAGTATAAATAGAAGAAACTATCAACCCCCGTAGCAGCTTTCCATGTTCACATTGACCCAATAAGCATTCGACTCTGCTGCTACTTGTTTTGACCTCGAAGAAACTCTCGCATATGCAAGTGAACCTCTGCCTTCACTAGCATACGCATCTTCTTCGAGTCCTCCCAGAGTAAGCCACTCCATTCTCGCGCAAAGTCACAGGCTGCCTCAAAAACCTCCTGCCACAATGAACTTATGAACTGAGATGCTAAATGAGAATACGACTAGGCTTGTGAAAAAAAAGAATAAGAAGAAAATCAACGGGATAAATTGTTACCCTGGAAGGAAATTCATCATAGAAGTGAGCAGGGGCCATCTCAACCCTATTCAGATCAGATTCCCACAATCTTATCTGCCACCCAAAAGGTGCATTTATGCCATCAGCAAATGAAGATTATATTCACCACTTAGAATGTGTTTGAAAAAATAAACTATTTTTTATAAAATTTATTTGGAAATTCAACAATCAAATTTAAAAAAATAAATTCTAACATAGTAAACTGATGCAATTGAAATGCATTGTCCTAATTCTATTTATAATTACTTTGGAATTGAATTTTCATTTCTCATTCTTGAACTATGCATATGTTTTCAAGTGAATTCCACAAAATATACCCCCAGTCTATATGCAATTTCAACTTCAATCACTGATAAGACATATCTAACTTTGCGTTGAATAGAATGTTAGAACCTGCATAGAAATATGGACATTGATTGGGCAAGAATTAAAACCTGATCTGTAACATTCTCAGGAACAGATGGTACTCTCTCTGCAATGCGAGGATGAGAATTTTGCTGAAGAAAACTGATTATCTACAAGTGAAAAGATCCAATGATTTAAATGAAGCAAATTCCTCTCACTACAAGAACAGAAATAGACAAAATATCTTAGAATTCCAGAGATCAGGGCATAGTATGTAGCTTGTCAATAAGTTTTTCCCTCAAGAATATTCCAATGTACAGGATCTGTACTGGACCTAAGATGTGAAGAGCGAAACAGATTGGGTACGTGTCAAAAATGCCAGGCTTGCACATGCAGAAGGTAATGACACAATTTCTCGCAGCATCAAAGTTAATAATCTAGCAAAATCAAACAAAACCGGCGGTTTGAACAGTTTTACCTTGTAAGTAAATTTATCAGATAGATGACTGTACATACTAAGATTGATTGCTTTTCAGGTCTCAATTAGTTTAGATAGAAAAATAAACAATTCAATGCAAATTGTTGGCAGCTCGCAGCAGAAGTCTCTAGCCTGTTCTATACCTTTATCTTAAGGTCCATGGCAACTGGAAATTATTCAATATATTGAAACATGCCTGAAAATTTATGCTGGATCTACAAGGAAAACATCTTAAAGAGTAATAACTAAAGAATTTTCTTCACCTGTTCTGCTGTAATGCCATTTTCAAAGGCATTATACAAGCTTTCTTTGGTTATTGCTCCAACTATAAGGTTAGGAAGTTGATACTCGACCCTGTATATGTATCAAAAAATTAATTAAGTCAAGAATATGAGATTCAAGAATGATGCTTCAATGTTAAGACTAGCAGCTACAAGCAGAAATTAGCTAAGTAAAAAAGGAATATGGAAGTAAATAAATTTGAAAGAAGAGTAAAAATCATTTATTAATTCTTAAGTTACATCAACCAACTTCCCCT